AGCTAAAAGTGTTAAAATACTGCAGTTACTTCTGCTTTTGTGCGTGAGAACGTGTGTGAGAGAGATGAAGTGTGAAAACAAGATGAGAAACTGACCAGTGCAGTGGAAAAATTGTTTTATATACTGAACATTTATATTCAGATCTGCTTAATATATCATAGTCATATTATGTTGATATATACAATTTTTAAATAATATAGAACAGCTGTGTTTATCATGATCCTGGAAGTCACTGTGAATGATTTGGACTAAACGTCAAAATATTGAACATCACACAGAGAGCTGATCATCACGGGACATTTCATATTTATCAGCAGTTTATGACCAATATACATGAAACAGAATCATTTCTTCAGATTGATTCATTTGAACTCAGTTTAATGGTGTACAGACAGTGTGTCTCTCCTAAAGAGCCTGCTGGAGCACCAACTGACTGAACATGGAAAACAACATGTTATTTTACAGTGTAAAGGCCTTAAAACTGATATGGAAACTTCAGGTGTTTTGGAAGTGTATATTCACTATTCAACATGTTTCTATATTACAGTATGTGATCATTGCTTAATCCGGGTTCTGATATTGGCTCAGATTCAATCTAATCATCATTAAGGCCTATAAGCTGCTGTAAAATGTATATTATTCAGTGATCTTCAGTGTGTTTGATCAGGAGATATCAACCGATCTATTATACAGCAGCTCAATATCCTCCCTGAACTCATGATTACATGTTTTTAATGTTTATAAAAGGTGATTCATTGCAATCCTTTTGTTTCCAGAGATGCATGAAATAGTCTCCTCATAGTGAAAATTTGCTTTTAAATTAAAAGTACATTCATTTTTTTTTTTTTACTTTTATTTAACCAGGAAGTCCCTTGAGACTTCTCTTTTCCCAGTGAGACCTGGCCAAGACGGCACACCAGATTCAGTTTAAATACAAATACAACATAGTCAAAAACAAACAAACAAACAAGCATCACACATAAAAGAAAAGAACAGGTCACATATGGCAGTTACATTTTTTAGTTATATTGCATTTTAACATGGCCATAAATTCATTTAACGGAACTAGATCATTTAGATGTAACAAATTTTGCAAATTATTTTGCATAACACTTTTAACATTTTTGAGAATTTCCTTAGTATGTGAAACACACAAAACAAGTGTCTCATGGTGTGTATTGTTTTCTCTTCTGGTTAGTAAGATACTGAACGGCCTGTTCGCCCCTGCTGGTAGATGTTGTAACTACACTTATAGGAACACAAAGCATCTTCCTTCTTTGAAGGCCTTTCACACATATGTGTAGTCTGATGCAATAAATGTATTTTATAGCAACATATAAAACTGTTAATATTTAAAAAGGCCTGTATTATATTTCAAGCAACTACAACAGCAGCTACAAAATTAAAAATGTTTTAAGATTGATAAGTTGCATAGCCTATACAGCAATCATTTTAATGCAACCTTTTAACACAGATATTTGGAATATCTATCAAAAGACATGAGGAATTTCTTCAAGGGATAAGGTGACAACTTTCTGTGGACAAAAACACACAAAACAAAACACTAATACCAGTCTAAAATGGTTGACAGGTCTTGTTTGTTTCTGGCTAAGCTGGTTCAGCTGGTAGCAAAACCTCTCTAAAACCAGTTTGCTCACCCAGCTTTGATCAGGATGGGAGAGTATCCGACCTCAACTGATCCTCCACACTCCAGCAATCGTGTTCAGCTCTGTCAGGGTCAGTGAGTTGTTAATAAATCACATTCTGACAGCCACAAGATGGCGCCACAAATCTGGACTGTTTATCTTTACCACTTCCTAGTGGTTGGCAGATCTAGGCTTCCTAAAACAATGAAAATGTACCATAATGTGTCGAGGCTCCGAAACAACCCAACACCCGTCTCCATGGTGACACCACTTGCCCTTACTATATATATATATATTGTATTTTTCTAATATGTGAATCTTGTAACCTGTAGGCTCCTCGCTGTGCATAATGTTATTTTGGTCATGAAAAATTAATATTAATAAAAGAAATCAAGTCACAATGTCTCATTTTTTAAGTTCAAAAATATTCATTTCTCTGCTGTCGAAGGACTTCCTGTTTTACAAATAATTTCTCTAGCCTTTGAAAAAATCCTCTCACAAGGGACACTTGTTGCTGGCAAGCAAAGATATGTTTGATCCATAAATCTATTAGGAAAACCAAACTGATGTCTTGGCTTTAGATTGGGTATAGCCTTTATGTAGACCTAAAAAATGTATATTCACAAAATATTATATCATATTGACAACATATTGTATTATATTCACAGTGAAGCTGTTTTTAACATGATTGGCAGTTATGATTGAGACATGACAGAGGCCTATAGACTTTCTAAACAGTGTCCGGACAGTTTATTATTATATTTCAATTATAATTATATTTCAAACAATGCATACATTGCTTAGATGGCCCAGCAGTGTCAGTAGCAGGCCTACAGGGGGAGTACCACCCTCTGTCTGCAGTGCACCCTGCAGAATGGCAGGATGAGTGCTCCTCAGCCATATTTTGGTATATCTGGATGATTAGGAGGCCATGATGGACAGATGCCACTGGGAAATTCGGTCAGGATGCCGGGGTTACACCCCTACTCTTTTGAAAGACATCCTGGGATTTTTTTGTGACCACAGAGAGTCAGGGCCTCGGTTTAACCGACTGACAGGACTATGACAGGAATGACAAACATTAAAATAACATTGCTCATTTCTTTTCTCATAAGACTAAGTTTCGCTGTTGTGGTTTCACTGAAGTTGTAAACTGATTGGTCCTCTGGTGGGCGTGTCCACGGTGGCCGTTCTAGTTTATGAATTCAGAACAAAAAGTCTTTGATAGAAGAAGAGTGTGCAGAACACAGCAAACACTGAATGATTATTAGAGCCACATCACAAAAAAAATATTTTGAAATATCAAAGATTATTTAATTTTTCATTTATTATAAGATTGACATTGAAGGTTGAAAATCATTACAACAGCTCCACCTAGTGGGTTTTCACTGACATTTCTAATCTCTCACTTGCTGTGATGTTATAGTATAACATTTTAAAAAGTTGATATGCAAAAATCTACATGATATTTAATTACTTTATGCTTCTTTGTTTTACAGTAGCCTACATTTATTAATTTAGCAGACTACACAGAAAATTCTAGAGACACTACCAGACCATCAAAAAGAAAACCGCAGATGAAAATTAATGTATTTTAAGGTTGGCTACCTAAAATACATCATGCATGTGTGTGTTTCCATTAAAAAACACACCGTTCTGAGAAGTTAAAATATAAATGAAAATAAAACACTAAGTGTGAAAGGAGAAGGCAAGAAAAAGACCTGAGCAGCAGTTACAAAAATAAATGTGTTATTCAAAGCGTTATTTAAAAAAAGTTATATTCAGGCCTTCGGTTTATATTCTAACCTGCTTATAGGTGTATCTTTATCTCTAATCATGACTATTTTAGTGCATATTTGTATTCAGGGCTGTTGAAAGCACAAGTTTGCTGACATATAGGCCTACTGATCTTACGATGTTTGGCCTGATCAAGTCTCTCATTGTCTTTCGTTGTTTTGTTAAGTCAATATTTCTCTGTTTCCCACAAACCATAATGTCCAACTAAACTACAACATCGACAGCATCAGTCAACAAACAATGAATCTTAGTTAAACTTCAGATTCAGTCAATTGAACAAGTTTAATGGTGTACTGAACAGTCAGTACGTCTCTCCTTAAGACCCTGCTGGAGCGCCAACTAGTGACGAAACATGGAAAAACAACACTGTCAAAGGCCTTAAATCTGATGGAAAGAATCCTTAACCCTAACTTTACTTCAATTAAAACTCCACCCTAACAAATGGCTAACCCTACTCCACCCCTAACCCTATGAGGCCATAATCTCAACTGAAGCTCAGTGCTGCGTAAAGTCGGGCCTCACTGTGCGATTTATAATAGTCCTTTACGATTGTTGCTTGTCAGACTGTATGAACATGATCATTGCTGTAAGCCATGTCACACTATTAGATCAAAATCTAGATCTCAAACACAACTGTGACAATTGCATTGTTGAAGAGGTAATTAACAAGTTATTAATTACTTTTTTAGAGTAACTAATGCTGAGTTCACACTGCCCAATTTTGCCCCAATTTTAACTCATCGACTGGAAAACCGTGCAGTTTTCTACTTTGAAAATCGTGCAGTGTGAACATTACCCAACACTTTTCAGGAGTGAGTAATTGTGGCTGAGGGATATTAACACAAACCAGTAGTGGTGGGCAGATCGAGGCTTCATGAAACAAAACAGTTGAAGCAATCAAAACAATCTGACACCCATCTCCATGGTGACCCCTAGTGGTCAGAACAGTGTAAATACAAAAACCCGGGCCAAACATGCATAAAAACACCTTTTACAAATCTATTTCAAATGTTTTATTGAAAGTAAAATCTATCAAATGTAATGATCTAATCATCTAACAAGATTACCAAGTGTAGCTATATATGTTATTTTTATCCATTGTCAGGGTTTGTTTTGTTAGTTCTATGAATGGCTCAGCTAAACAGGACTAATGTCTAATTAAATAGTCTACAAATGTATAAAACTGATCAGAGATCAGGTAAAACCTACAGACACTTCCTACAGTCACAACCCACAGTCGCCCCCTAGCGGTGAACCATTGAAATTCAGAACTATTTTTACAGTGTATGGTTCAGAAACAGACGTAACCCAGATAGCAAACTGACATTGAATCAACGTGGAAATATGACATTGAAACAACGTTGATCTGACATTGTTTTGCTCATCGAATTAACGTTGAACCAACGTCAGACGCGTCATTCTTTCAAAACTAACGGAAAATCAACGCGTTGTTTCAACGTTATGAAAGCAAACCAATTTTCGATTTTCATTTAGCTTTGAAGAATGCCGCGTCTGACGTTGGTTCAATGTTAATTCGATGAGCAAAATCAACGTTGTTTCAATCTCATGAGAGACGTCGTTTCCACGTTGATTCAATGTCAGTTTGCTGTCTGGGAATGAAGCCTCGTTTAGTGAAATCACGTGACTCGAGCAGTTTGATGCATGCGCTGAGCCATTGATTCGGAACTAACGATTTGTAAAGGCGGTTCATAAAGCAATGTTTTGAAATTGCCATCACTACAAACCAAGTCAATGAAAGACAAATACTATTCCTTTCTCTTATACAAATGATTAATTAGCATGTCTACATTTTTTTTTACTGTATTTACTCAATAATGTTTTGAACATATTCAGAAACCTAAGTTCAGATAGAAGTCTAAGTTCGGAAGAAATAAAGTTAAGTTTCGCACAACATGAGAGCAAGTAATCGATGATAAAGAAATGGCTTAAGTCACTTTAACTAATAAAAGTCATATTGGAAGAGTTCCTCACTATTGACAAGTGACACTGCATTCCCAGCTAATGTTGTTTCCACCTCTGCTGCAGAGATTTAGACGATAAACTCCAGTGTCGCTGGTTCTAGTGTCTTTGATGGTGAGAGACCCAGTTTGATGGTGAAGCTCCAGTCTGTCTCTGAATCTCTCATCACCACCTCCATTCATTCCAGTTATGAGAATTTTATCTCCAAACCTCCACTCCACTTTCCCATCTCTTTCTACATTAAAATCAGTGATTAAAACTAAACATTCTCCCGCCATCACTGACACCGTCTTGGGATCGGACTCACCTGGAGAACAAACAGAGAAAAATCCTCATACAGACACTGACATGAGTTGAATGTGACCGTATAACATCAATTGATTATAGTCTAAATTTACTGTATTTAAAAATTATACTATTCTGTACAATCCAAATTCAGAAAATGAACTACTGCGCTCCATCTTCTTGATGTGCATGCATGCATGCAAACCGCTCGTTCATTGAAACTTTTTGGAAATAGAAATACTCGAGTGACATTCTCAAATGTACAGATGATATAACCTTAAAATGTAAGTAATGTGCTGAAGAAATATGTATGAAAAATTTAACAGAAGCACACATCTGTCAAAGCAGCTGACAGGGAAAGGCAAAGTATTACGTGTTAAAGTATTAGTTTGTCTGAAATACTAGAATAAAGTATATATTATATATATATATATATAAGTATTATATACGTGTTAAAGTATTAGTTTGTCTGAAATACAAGAATAAAGTATATATGAAGAGTTCAGATGCAGCCTCTAAATGCCATTTGAAATTTTCTTCTTTAATGATGATTTTTATCAAACTTGCATATTTAAGTTCAGTAATTTCACTAAAATAACAATTAATAGGTAATTATCATTGCCATTTAAGTGAAATCACTGAACTTAAATATACAAGCTTGATAAAAATTATCATTCTAGAAGAAAATTTCAAATGGCACTTAGAGGCTTTTGCATCTGAACTCTTCATATATATATATATATATATATATATATAAAGAATTCTTAGCTTGTGTACTTTTCCTGCGGGATGTATGTTAATGATGCCTTTTGTCTATAGAAATACGTTGCTATGACTTTACTACTGTAGAGTGTTGTCATTTGTGAATGATTTCTGTTCACTGTATGCAGACCAGATTAATAGCTAATCAAATGTGTTGTAGATTGGTTTGTTGGGTTGTTTTTATTTAATTTGGTGCAAGGATGAGACATACTGTATACATTTTGCTCATCATTTCTTTAGCAATAGTACTAAAAGGAAAACGAAAGACTCACAAGGCTTGAAAACTCTGAATTTCCTGTATGACGTCCTCTTGCTGCTGGTGATCCGTAGATTATAAGGTCCAGATGTGATGTCACTGATGCTCAGAGATCCGGTGTTCTTGTTCAGCGTCAGTTTGTCTCTGAATCTCATGCCATACGTCATCTCTCCAGTCTCTCCGGTCAGTTGAGCGATGAGATCGTCTTGATCTCCAAACATCCACAGGACCAGATCATCTCTCTGTACTTCAGTGTCAGTGTTTAGAGTCACATTCCTTCCACTTATCTCTACTGACTTCAACACTAAGAACAAGACAAATACAGAGAAAAGGTTTCCATTATATAAGTGCGTGTGCATGTGAACATCATAGTTTGACAGTGCTCTGAAAAAAGATTATTCAGATGGGGATTTAAAATCAGCTTGAAAATGAACTTTACATATTCATATGCATCAAAGACAGACCATTAAAGAGCAACTGTGCCTTCACTGCACACAGAATCAATTTTGACATCCCACCAGAAATCAAATATGGACAAACTCCCACTCTTGCTACGAGAGCCCAGATAGTTTAAACCTGGCCACGTGAGGTCCTGTCACAAAAAAGAGCCTGACACTCCTCTTACCTCAAACAATTATTAGTTTTAAAGTATTTAATTAGGTTTAATTAGGTCTCTCCAAACTTTAATCTTAGTGTGTGTTCACACTCAGGGTTTGGATCAAATGAACAAATCAATTAAAAAAGAAAGACTTGAGATCCTCACCTCTGACAGTAACATTCCATCTCTTGATTTCGGTGGATTTACTGCCGACGGGCTTCAGAGAATAGACTCCTTCGTGTTCAGTTGTGATGTTTGTTATGATCAGTGATCCAGTCTTCTCGTCCAGCTGCAGTCTGCCTCTGAATCTACTATCACCAACGTCAAATGTGGAGATCTTTCCAATCCAATCTTTTTTGATTCCAGCTATGGGAGTGTTTTCATCTCCAAACAGCCACTGTAAGTCATCTTTTCTCTGTATTACAGCATTAGTGTTTAGAGAGACGGACTCTCCCTCCTTGGCTGACACTTTCTCCACTTTATATCATAGTAGCAAATAGAAACAGAGAAATGAGGAGATTATGTGACGTGTGTCAGTAAAGCCTCATTGAGGATGTGTGTGTGTGTGTGTGTGTGTGTGTGTGTGTGTGTGTGTGTGTGTGTGTGTGTGTGTGTGTTTTGTACTGCTATTGGTAAGAACAAACTAAATTAAAAAAAAGAATATTTTTAATACACCGTACACCTATGAGCCAAAACATAAATGACCAGTCACAGGTGAAGCAAATATCTTTGATCATCTCTTAACAAGGCCACATTAAGGTCTGGATAGATTAGATGGTAAAGCAAACAATCAGTTCTCAATCAGTGTTTTGATGCATGAGAAACGGGCAGCAATAAAGATCGAGTGACTATAAAATCGTATTCACTTTATAGCCCGTAATCCTGTAATTGTGGGCACAGATGACTCAGGTGTGATCCTAATTTTTGTTTATTATAAATGTTATATCACTGTCTTCAATAAAGTTTTGTCTATCCATTTAGGGTTTTTCTTTTTATTTTGGGGGTATTTTTGAATTTATTTACTTCAAAAAGTAACATATTTTCTATGTAAATTAATTACTATGTAGTTTTATTTTTTACATTTTTTAACTACATTAAAATATCATTCCAATAAGTTCTTAGAGCTAAAACCTAAAGATGAAGTGACTCTGCTGTCACCTGGTGTCTTATTTTGGCTTATTTTAGAATGCTCTAAATTACAGTTTTTCCCATTCATTTCTATGGGTGCCCATTTTTGACCCAAATATAAGATTGAGGAGTTGTTTTTTTCACCCACTTAACATTGTAAAATTGAGTCAAAAAAAAAATTGTGTTCAAGAGGCAAACTTAGGAAAAGTAGCCAAGTCTTGTACCGCTCAGATCAAGGGAAGAATTTTTTTTTAAATAAATCAAAACTATTTTCCCCACATTAGTCCAGAATACGGGTTTAGGGTTAACAAGGGTGTTATTATAATGGCAAAGGCGACAGCAAGGCTTGAGTGTGTTCTCCCGGTCAGCAGTGATAAGAATTTTCCAAACCAACAAAAGGTCTACTGTTGCACAAGTAACAACATCTTAATTATGGTTAAGGGAGGAATGTGTCACAACACAGAGCTGCTGCCTAGCTGCAGACTAATGAGTGTGCCAATAAGGGGCTTTCGCACCGGATAGTTCTAGTAACCAGCCGCCAGGGTCTTTCCCAGAGAACGGGGAGTGTTTTCCTGGTTGCATTCGCACCGCCATTAGGAACTCTGAAGAGACGTAAGCCGCGCTTGTTGGTGTGACATATTTTGGCGGTGCGGCGGACTTTTACTTAGACAGCGCTGAGGGTGCCGGAGCCTGAGCACACAGTGATTGCATTCTCCATGTTCATTCGTTTATGATCTGTCTAACAGTCCTGTAACAGTCTAACAGGCGGGCATACACTGTGCGATGTCTGTGCGATTTCAGCAAGGTACCTACTCACACTGAACGAGTAAATCGCATGGGATGCAAAGCCAAAGTTCAGGATTTATGTGCTCACACTGTACGGTCCGATCGTCGAGCTGCGACACTGCTCACACTATACGTGTAATATCTGCGATAACCCCCTGGATTGCGCCCATTTACGTGTATGTATCCAGGGATATTGTCAAAACAAGCATCTGCTAGTATCAAGATGATTTAGCATTTTCAATTTATACATTTAATTATTATTGGTATTATTGTATTATCATTATTGGGGGGGCCTAAGGGCTAATTTTATTATTAAATTGATCAGCTATTATAATTAATTTGCCACGCAATATTTTCACAGCACATAACCAACGTGCTGTGAGGATAATAAAATATTACATAATCTTACTCCTCATTAAAAATTGTCTAAAACATTTAGGTCGATTACAATGAATTATAGGCATATAAAATAACTATTAACAGTCTATAATATGGCCGAACATTGACATAATTATTAATCAATGAAAATTAAAAACAGGTTTATTTCAAAAACATTGTTTGACAAATTAATAAAAGAGGTGTTGCATCGCAGGTGGCTTGGAAGACGGTAGGTATTATCCATTTTGCAACACGAACTGGGGGTAAACAACAGTAATTTGTAGCTAAAGATCTCCCTCTTTTCTTTTTATTTTAATTTTATTTTTGCTGCAGATGAAATGGTTAAACTTCTGTTTTTGCGCAGGTGCAGTGAGGGAAAAAGCACTGAGTTTAGGGCAATCGGTTCGTAGCTTTGCTTCAACTGTGCGATATAGTCACGAGGAGCGACCAAAATTTCTGACATGCCAGAAATTCATCCGACCATCCAATTGTCGATCGTGAGAGGCTAACGCCTCTCGTTTCTCCCTGTACACTGCACGAACATTGCACGACAAACGACGCACGACAAAGCTGAAAATCGGTCCGACAGGAAAAAGAGTCGCACGAGTCAGAATTCGGCTCAAAATCGGACGAAAATCGCACAGTGTATGCCCGCCTACATTATTACAGTGTTTCCCAACCCTGTTCCTGGAGGCACACCAACACTACACATTTTCCAACTCTTCCTAATCGATCACACCTGAATCAACTCATCAGCTCGTTAGTAGAGACTCCAAGACCAGAAATATGGGTCAGAAAAAAGAGACATCCAAAATGTGCCCTGTTGGTGTGCCTCAAGAAGCAGGGTTGGGAAATGTATTATTAAAAATTTATTAGACAGAGCTGTTTAGACACTAATGGAAAGTTATTAGCGTTTGCCATGTGGTTGATGACCAGTGTTGCTAGCTGAGCAGGAATACATGTATAATCACATTTGGCTTGGTCCGCTTAGTGTCGCATTGGATTTTCTCCTCAGCGTAAATGTTAAGAGGCCCATCTATCACTGTTTTCCATGTTCTTAGAGTTAGTATTCAGAGTAAATATAGGCTATAATCTGTGTTTACATGGCTTTTTTTTTTAAATGGTGGGTGCTGGTATTTTGGGCCAATCGGTATACACTAACGCCACTGATGGTTCCTATTGTGCTGGTTTAGACTGAATCTGAAGTAGGAGCTAAATTAGTTCCTAGAACTAAAATCGCTCCTAGTCCCTGCGGTGCAAACACGCCAAAAACCGGGAACTTCCACCAATAGTTCTAGGAACTATGAAAAGATTCAAACGTGACAGCACCAGAATGAACTGTGGGATGATAACATGCCAATGTGTTTCCCTGGCCTACAAATTCACTAGGGGGTGTATTACAGAAACTTTCTATCTTATGTCTTAAGTTAAGTTATATAGGATTTTTTACAAATTCGTATTAAGCAAATATTAAGTTGTTTTAAGATTCTTATCCTATCTTACAAAATCTGATCAGTAGTTAAGAAATCTTAAACCACTCCATCGAGTTCCTATCTGAAAATGCCATGGTTACCAAATCGATAAGATAGGATTCTAAAGTTAGGATTTTTCTGTAATGCTCCCCCAGATCTCAATCCAATTGAACATCTGTGGGATGTGTTGAACCCACGCCAGCTCCACCACGCAACCTACAGGACTTGAGGGATCTGCTGCTATATGTCTTGGTGCTGCCGGACACCTTCAGGGCTCTTGTAGAGTCCAGACCTCATGCATCGGCAGAGCTGTTTTGGCAGCACATGGAGGACCAACATCATTTCAAAAAGATGATCATAATGTTTTGGCTCATTATTTATGATTAACTTGGCCAGTGCTGCATCAATTCATCATTTTGTGCACTATAAAATTTAATAAATTGAGGAGAATACAAAATGAATAACACATAAAAGTAACTCAATTTGCACTACTAAAATTCAGTTGTGTTCATTTTTATTAATCACACAAACATGAATAAATAAAATAAACAACTACTCACAATTTATGGCAACTTTGAATATCTCGCCTGTGGTTTCTCTGTTGCTGATCTGTAGGATGTAAAGCCCAGAGTGTTCAGTTCTCGTGCTCTTGATGGTCAGAGATCCAGTCCTCTTGTCCAGCTTCAGTTGGTCTCTGAATCTCCCATCAGTACCTCCAAATGTTTCTCTTTTCTTTCCGGTCATTTGAGCTATGCGAGTGCCTTCATCTCCAAACATCCACACTATCAGATCGTCTTTCTGCATTTCAGTATTAGTGTGTAAAGTGACCGGTTCTCCCTCCACCAATGATATCAATTCGACTTAATTTGTGACGCATAAAAAGAGAAAAATACAAAGAAAATGTTTCTATTACATCAAGTTTGCCAAGTGTAACCAGCCAGTCTATTTGTAGTCAACAACTATAGTACAGAACAATATTTCCTCGAAAACATTACCCCCACATCTCGCCCAGTCCCTTCATTAAAGCCTCATTAAACTGACTCATTCTTAGTTTCAATCTGTGTGTTATCACGTAAATCTCCCTCACTGTCTGTAACCATTCTGTAAGGCCTGTCCAAATAACTACATGTGCATCATGTTCGTGAACTCGCATGCCCAGAAATTGAGAGATGTCGAGGAAAACTGGAAGTTAAATTAATTTGATAGTACATATAATTTGGTAGAAAAACAAAGTGGTTCACAAATGTATTGGTGCAACGTCTATTTTTATACAACATTTGCAATAGCTTTTAATCACTTAATTGGAAGCACCACAATGACTAAACTGTGTTGTCTGTCAAATACGTTTATTTTAATATGCAAAGTATTGAAAACTTTGAGCTACTCACTTTTAACAGTGACAATGAATCTTTGATACAACGCCCCTCTGTTTCTGGTGGTCTGTAGATTATAGACTCCAATGTGTTCAGCTGTGGTGTCTGTGATGATCAGAGATCCAGTCTTCTTATCCAGCTTCAGTCTGTCTCTGAATCTCCCATCGGCACTGTGATATGTAGAGATTTCTCTGGTCTCACCTCTGATTTCAGCTATGGGTTTCTCTTGAGGTCCAAACCTCCATAGTATTTTATCATCGTTTTGTATTTCAGCACCAGTCTTCAGAGTGACGGATTCTCCCTCCTTTACTGATACGGTCTTGTCTTCATCTGTCCAACAGCACATAAAAACAGAGAAATTAGGAGATTTTGAAAACTGGGGATTATTGCCTTCTCTAAAATTTTGTTATTACTTTAAAAGCTGTAACTCTCAGTATTCGAAATAAGTATATACCATGGTCTGGGTATAATACTCGATTCTGATTGGCTGGAGGGTGTGTCCATTAAAAAGTGATAGAGGACACCTTGTAAAGGAGTTCTGGTAAAACTGACTGTTTACCGTTCGAAATGAATAAATAAATGGGCTGGCTATATCATCTGTGAGTGACCATAGTGTTCTACGAGCTGAGCGGACTATAAATATATCCGCTTGCTAAATAACCAGGGAATCCAAGTTATTGCTTGTAAAAACTTTAGATTTCGATTGTAAAACTAATTAAATATAAACTAATGTTTTAAAAATTTGTTATTTGGAAGTGACCATGGTATAAGCGACTACGGGGCATTAACCCTTACATAACTCAACTTTATTAAGTAGCATTGGTCCTGCACCAAAACATATATTTTGTACCTTTTATTATATTTAAATTTCTTAATGTCTTCCATTACCTGCTTCTGTCCAAAATTGTTATTATTATTTTACAAGAATAAAATATATGAGAGTATAACAACACTATACTGTAAGTGTGTCCCAACGGGTAATCAGAAGTACTGCACTTGCAGTCTTTACGCCTACTTGAACACTTGAAGGCCGAATACAGGAAATACGTCATGCAAGTAGACAAGTGGTCAAGTGCAAAGACTACAAGTTTAGTTATTTGGTCAGGCCCATATTGTGTCTCAAGACTGCCTTCTATTCATCAGAGCTGTACCTCTCCTCATCCAAACAGATGAAGAAAACATGTGCTATACACAAATCAACAGACACACAGTAATTTATCAAATGTAATGTGTGAAATAACTGCCAATAAAGACATGTGATTATTATTATACTGAAAACCTTGAGCTACTCACGTTTAACATTGACAATGAATCTTTGATACAACGCCCCTTTGTTTCTGTTGATCTGTAGATTATAGACTCCAATGTGTTCAGCTGTGATGTTTGTGATGGTCAGAGATCCAGTCTTCTCATCCAGCTTCAGTCTGTCTCTGAATCTCCCATCAGCACCACGATATGAGATTTCTCTGGTGTCGCCTTTGATTTCAGCTATGGGTTTCTCTTGAGGTCCAAACATCCATTGTATATGATCATTGTTTTGTATTTCAGCACCAGTCCTCAGAGTGACGGATTCTCCCTCCTTTACTGATTCGGTCTTGTCTTCATCTGTCCAACAGCACATAAAAACAGAGAAATTAGGAGATTTTCAAAACCGAGCGGACTATAAATAAATATAAATAATATATCCGCTTGCTAAATAAACGTCAAGCGTAACCAAGGAATCCAAGTTACTGTTTGTAAAAACTTTAGATTTCGATTGTAAAACTAATTAAATATAAACTAATGTTTTAAAAATGTGTTATTTGGCAAGTGATCATGGTATAAGCGGGTTAAAGCCCTTCGAGGTGTCCATTGTCAGGTATTAATGGACTTTGGTGGAGGCAACCGTCCTACGGCGCATTAACCCTTACATAACTCATCTTTATAAAGTAGCATTAGTCCTACACCCAAACATATATTTTGTATCTTTATTATATTTGATTTCTTAAAAATGTCCTCCATTACCTTCTTCTGTCCAAAATTATTTTTATTATTTTACAAGAATAAAATATATGAGAGTATAACAACACTATACTGTAAGTGTGTCCCAACGGGTAATCAGAAGTACTGCACTTGCAGTCTTTACGCCTACTTGAACACTTGAAGGCCGAATACAGGAAATACGTCATGCAAGTAGACAAGTGGTCAAGTGCAAAGACTACAAGTTTAGTTATTTGGACAGGCCCATATTGTGTCTCAAGACTGCCTTCTATTCATCAGAGCTGTACCTCTCCTCATCCAAACAGATGAAGAAAACATGCCATACACAAATCAACAGACAGACAGTAATTTATTTAATGTAATGTGTGAGATAACTGCCAATAAAGACATGTGATTATTATTATATTGAAAACCTTGAGCTACTCACTTTTAACATTGACAATGAATCTTTGATACAACGCCCCTTTGTTTCTGGTGGTCTGTAGATTATAGACTCCAATGTGTTCAGCTGTGATGTCTGTGATGATCAGAGATCCAGTCTTCTCATCCAGCTTCAGTCTGTCTCTGAATCTCCCATCAGCACCATGATATGAGATTTCTCTGGTGTCGCCTTTGATTTCAGCTATGGGTTTCTCTTGAGGTCCAAACATCCATTGTATTTGATCATCGTTTTGTATTTCAGCACCAGTCATCAGAGTGACGGATTCTCCCTCCTTTACTGATACGGTCTTGTCCTCATCTGTCCAACAGCACATAAAAACAGAAAAATTAGGAGATTTTCAAAACTGGGGATTCTTGCCTTCTCTAAAATTTTGTTATTGCTTTAAAATCTGTAACTCTCGGTATTCGAAATAAGTATATACCATGGTCTGGGTCTGGGTGAACACTCGATTCTGATTGGCTGCAGGGTGTCCATTAAAAAGTGATAGAGGACACCTAGTAAAGGAGTTCTGGTGAAACTGACTGTTTACCGTTTGAAATGAATAAATAAATGGGCTGGCTATATCATCTGTGAGTGACCATAGTGTTCTACGAGCTGAGCGGACTATAAATATATCCGCTTGCTAAATAACCAGGGAATCCAAGTTATTGCTTGTAAAAACTTTAGATTTCGATTTTAAAACTAATTAAATATAAACTAATGTTTTAAAAATGTGTTATTTGGAAGTGACCATGGTATAAGCGACTACGGGGCATTAACCCTTACATAACTCAACTTTATTAAGTAGCATTGGTCCTGCACCAAAACATATATTTTGTACCTTTTATTATATTTAAATTTCTTAATGTCTTCCATTACCTGCTTCTGTCCAAAATTGTTATTATTATTTTACAAGTATAAAATATATGAGAGTATAACAACACTATACTGTAAGTGTGTCCCAACGGGTAATCAGAAGTACTGCACTTGCAGTCTTTACGCCTACTTGAACACTTTTCCCACAAGGCCGAATACAGGAAATACGTCATGCAAGTAGACAAGTGGTCAAGTGCAAAGACTACAAGTTTAGTTATTTGGTGAGGCCCATATTGTGTCTCAAGACTGCCTTCTATTCATCAGAGCTGTACCTCTCCTCATCCAAACAGATGAAGAAAACATGCCATACACAAATCAACAGACAGACAGTAATTTATCAAATGTAATGTGTGAAATAACTCCCAATAAAGACATGTGATTATTATTATATTGAAAACCTTGAGCTACTCACTTTTAACAGTGACAATGAATCTTTGATACAACGCCCCTTTGTTTCTGTTGATCTGTAGATTATAGACTCCAATGTGTTCAGCTGTGATGTTTGTGATGGTCAGAGATCCAGTCTTCTCATCCAGCTTCAGTCTGTCTCTGAATCTCCCATCAGCACCACGATATGAGATTTCTCTGGTGTCGCCTTTGATTTCAGCTATGGGTTTCTCTTGAGGTCCAAACATCCATTGTATATGATCATTGTTTTGTATTTCAGCACCAGTCATCAGAGTGACGGATTCTCCCTCCTTTACTGATTCGGTCTTGTCTTCATCTGTCCAACAGCACATAAAAACAGAGAAATTGGGAGATTTTCAAAACCGAGCGGACTAGAAATAAATATAAATAATATATCCGCTTGCTAAATAAACCGTCAAGCGTAACCAGGGAATCCAAGTTACTGTTTGTAAAAACTTTAGATTTCGATTGTAAAACTAATTAAATATAAACTAATGTTTTAAAAATGTGTTATTTGGCAAGTGATCATGGTATAAGCGGGTTAAAGCCCTTCGAGGTGTCCATTGTCAGGTATTAATGGACTTTGGTGGAGGCAACCGTCCTACGGCGCATTAACCCTTACATAACTCATCTTTATAAAGTAGCATTAGTCCTACACCCAAACATATATTTTGTATCTTTATTATATTTGATTTCTTAAAAATGTCCTCCATTACTTTCTTCTGTCCAAAATTATTTTTATTATTTTACAAGAATAAAATATATGAGAGTATAACAACACTATACTGTTACTGTAAGTGTGTCCCAACGGGTAATCAAAAGTTCTTCGCACTTGCAGTCTTTACGCCTACTTGAACACTTGAAGGCCGAATACAGGAAATACGTCATGCAAGTAGACAAGTAGTCAAGTGCAAAGACTACAAGTTTAGTTATTTGGTCAGGCCCATATTGTGTCTCAAAACTGCCTTCTATTCATCAGAGCTGTACCTCTCCTCATCCAAACAGATGAAGAAAACATGTGCCATACACAAATCAACAGACAGACAGTAATTTATCAAATGTAATGTGTGAAATAACTGCCAATAAAGACATGTGATTATTATTATATTGAAAACCTTGAGCTACTCACTTTTAACATTGACAATGAATCTTTGATACAACGTCTCTCTGCTGCTGTTGATCTGTAGATTATAGACTCCAATGTGTTCAGTTGTGATGTTTGTGATGGTCAGAGATCCAGTCTTCTCATCCAGCTTCAGTCTGTCTCTGAATCTCCCATCAGCACCACGATATGAGATTTCTCTGGTGTCGCCTTTGATTTCAGCTATGGGTTTCTCTTGAGGTTCAAACATCCATTGTAAATGATCATCGATTTGTATTTCAGCACCAGTCCTCAGAGTGACAGATTCTCCCTCCTTTACTGATACGGTCTTGTCTTCATCTGTCCAACAGCAATCACAAAATATCACATATTAATTTTCCAAGGATATTCTTGGCAATATGAAGAATAAGTGATTCTTAAATTTCCTTAAATCTCCTTCTGTTATTTTATTGTCTATTAAAATTCCCCATGTTATTTTAATATTATGTAACCTTCATTTCATTAAATATATTATTTGTTCATCCTATCAAATGATCTACTCTAATAATTTTACAAACTTTAATCCAAGCACAAAAGAGGATGAATATCATCTAATGTTTTTACTTTAATTTCTTCCTTTAAATAACTTCTTTGAAGATGTTTTTTTAAATAGTTTTCTAGACAATACATATTTTCCACCTATACTTTAAAATAAATTTGATAAAATGAGTATACGCATTTAATGTAAATACTTACACATTCTAATTAGCTGTTCACGGATCGTTTCTTCACCTTTCACATCAGTGGCTAGAAACAGAGAAATGAGAAGATTTTAAGTGATTTTTAAGATTTAAAAGTGCTTTTAATAATCAAGGATGTGAATTAACAATAAACAATGTATGAAAACAATGTATCAATCTATATATTGTTTAATGGTGGTCATGTATATTAACTACTATTAGCAGTATTTAAGGATATTTCCACGATACTGTTAATATTCCTTCATTAATTAAGAAACGATCATCTAAAATGTCAATTTTATTGTCATTACAAATGTGTTTGAATTTCTTCTGTGGGACAGAAAAAATAACATTTAAATGACATGAGGGCGAATAAATAATTTTTATTTTTGGGTCAGCTATTCATTTAAAGGTGCAATAAGAGATTTCTGAGAAATACCATTGATAATTTGTAAAACCGACACACAATCAAACACACCCCTCCCTTCAATGCTCACAAATCACTGCAACACAGGCAACAACTACAGCTTGACCAAGTACAGTATGGCTAAATCAACTGTGATTAAAAAACAACAGCATATCTTTCTTCTGTGAAACAGCAAAAAAACAATGTTACTCACACATTGAGCAGAAATATAGCAACCTCTGTTCTCATTTCCAGGCCTTCCCTTCCCGCTCTCCAACGTCTCTCCAGTGCTGGGATATTTTCAATATTAAAGCGGGACACAGTTCGTAGTTCTTTTTTTAAAGTCAACAGACATACATGTGATGAAAGTCGAGTAGACTAGCCGCTGATGCCGTATTTAATGTACTAATAAGCCTGAACCATAAATAAGCGCTGCCCACAAGGCTATAGCTCTTAGCAGCTTATTTTTATCAGTTTTTTTGGCAGACACATGGCAGTGTCTCTCAACTAATAGTGCAGCTGTGGGTTTTAGTTGCCAAGAAATATATGCTAGAACTTTTCAGTTTCTAAGCTATTTTGATAATGATAATGATAAAACCAACACATTCTCATCCTTTGGCGTCATATGACATTTCGTCGAAATACTACGCACATGGCACCCTTTAGCGTCAATATAACCAGTGGTGGAGGAAGTACTGAATCTCAGTACTTAAAGTAAAAGTACAAATACCCAGATAAATATTTACTTTAGTAAAAGTAGAAGTAACACAATGACAAAAGTAAAAAGTACTTTATTTTAAATGTACTTTAAGTATTAAAAGTAAAAGTACTTGCATAACAATTTATTATCTTAATGTCTATTTTCTAATGATTAATAAAACATTTAATTCTAACTCATTCAACCTAATAGCCTACTCCTATAATGATGTTCAATAATGATGGAAAAAAATGTCACCATTTCTGAAACAAGCTTGCAATTAGGCAATATAAGCCATATCCTTACTATATGTTAATAACTATGTTTGGCAGTAAACGAGATTAATTTATGGTGTAATTCTGAACCTCTTGGCTTGCCATATAATCCTAACCAAACCAAACATTACACACGGATATTACACACGGTGTGTTTCCTATGCACATAAAAACAAATTTTCGCGTATGAGTTGCACGATAAACACACTGCGTGCGAGACGCATTTAGTGTGACCGGGTTGATATACTGTATCTATGGCAACCAAACGTCACTGGTGAGACAAACGTGCAACGAACGGACGGTCAAATTACGTTTTGGCAGGGGAAAAACTGATCAGAAAATGTAACGAAAATGTAACAGAAGTTGTAGAAATGTAGTGGAGTAGAAAGTATAATTATTGCTGCAAAATGTAACGAAGTAAAAGTAAAAAGTAGGCTCTATTTATTGTACTTAAGTAAAGTAAAGATACGTGAAAAATGTACTTAAGTAAAGTAACGAAGTATTTGTACTTCGTTACATTCCACCACTGAATATAACACGCACTGTTATGGGTAGGTTTAGGTCTGGGGTAAGGTCTGCATCTCATATTGACGCTAAAGGATGCCAGTCACCTGTATGACGCCTTGGGTTTGCGTGTTATATTGACGCTAAAGGGTTCCATGTGCGTAGTATTTTCGCCAAAATGTCATATGGCGTCACCTATATGACGCCAAAGGATGAGAACGGGCTCGATAAAACACAGAACAGTGTTGACAATACATTTCTGCACTACTGAATGATTCTGAGCGTGTGCAATCTTTTTTATTTTGGTTTTGGGTGGTGGTACCCCAATGTTTTTGTGTGTAGATTTCAGAGCCTACAGAGGCACGTTTTTTTGACGGCCTGCTGATGGGGCGGGCAGCTAGTGGACAGTTAGGAAAAATTTGATGAATCTGATCATTTATTTTTGGGCCTAAAATCACTGATACAACCTTTAACTGCTTAAATATTGATAATTAATACTACTTACCAGATATGATGAGATAAACCAACTCACTCAGTATTAACCGGAAGCATCAAATCGTAAAAAAACACAAGTGCAGCGCCATCTTAATGGTTTCTGTGTTAAAGTCAAGTGAAGCCACACACAATAACACAAATATAAGTCAGACGGCCCATGTTAAAATCAAAACAGTAGAGCAAACATTACATGAATGCTGGCACAATGCAGGCACAATCAAACAGTCTTAATGTTGTTCTGGTCAATTCTAAGTATATTTATATCATGCAGCTCAATATTGAGCAATCACATGTTTCATATCACAAACAGAACATGTGGTAAAAAAATTTAGAAATTCTGAATATGAAAACTACATTTGAACTTTACTGTCACACAATAATCGAATTGTTCTCGCTGTATCAGGTTTAATACTTACACGACCCTGATTCCTGTGTAGAGGACTCCTCATCTTGTTAGTCAGCACATAAACAGAAAACAGGAGATAAAATTGAGCAGATGTCAATAACACTGGAGGACTGAGAAGATATGATATGATTTTCATGATCATGATCACCATTTTTTAACTCATTTGATAGCTTTATGTGCAGTTTAAGTGGTTATTTGAGCAATCACAATCACTAGCAAAACTATTGACTATGGAAAATCTCTTGTTGAATGGGTTGTTATACTTACCCCATAAACGTTTTGGAGAGCAGATTATGTGACGATAGTGAAAAACCCCAGCTGCAGCTGAAAACACCAGCAGAACAAAAAAAACTATTCCTGCTTTAGCACCTGAAGACAGACCTGGTTCGGTAATGATAAAGAGAGACAGACAGTAACAAACACTTAATCATCAGCACTATATAACCTGAGAGAAGATCTAGTAGATCTTTATGTTAATGCTGGTTAGTTAATTGCATGTAAACATTAAAATCAAATCAGTGATGGAGATTAAAGTTCAATTCACATCAAGCCGTTTTAGCTAATGAAAAGGTCTGGGGAATGGGTTTTGTGCTCTGAAAGTTGCAGTATGATGTCATCGAATACAAATTGCTCATGATTCAAGTCCTTTAATGTCACATCATCTGAATTAATCGCAGACAGCTGATAAACAATCATAACTTCAAATTCTTGAGTTACTCACCACTGACAGTAACATTGAATTTCTTGTATAATGTCTGTTTGTTGCTGCTGATCTTCACTGTATAAAGTCCAGAGTCTGTGGTTCTGATGTCTGTGATGGTCAGAGATCCGGTCTGATTATCCAGCTGCAGTCTGTCTCTGAATCTCTCATCAGTATCTTTTGTTAGGCTATCGGCCTCTATATCACATTTAGCTATGAGTTTTCTTTCAAACCTCCACACTATCAGCTCATCTCCGTGTGTTTCATTAACATCAGTCTGAAGAATGACAACGTCATTCACTGACACAGTCATCATTTCAGCTTCGCCAGCATCAATATCAGCATCCGTTGGAGACTCTGCAAGAAACAGATACACAGACAGAGACTGAACACTGTTACTGGCAAAAATTCAATCGTTGTAGTACTGTAGTATAAAACCAACATCACACATCTGCCATGCTGCTGTTCTGATTATCAGTCATGTGATCCCCTGCGACCCAATCACAGCACGACGGTGATATTGTGAAACTACAATTCTGTTAGATTGTTGAACACATTAGATTATTTTATTTCCTTTTTAATGCCAAGTGTGCGAGCCTCTATGACTATATCATGTTGAATATATTTTAGCCGATTTTAGTTATAAAAAAAAAAATTTAGTTTTTGGTTTTATAAAAAGTTTGGGCTGAGCATGATTAATCTCGATTAATCGCATCCAAAATAAAAGTTTGTGTTTACATAATATATGTGTGTGTAGTGTGTATAATTATTTTGTATATATAAATACACACACTTCCATGTATATATTTAAGAAATATTTGCATGTATATACTTTATATATGAAGAGTTCAGATGCAAAAGCATCTAAGTGCCATTTGAAATTTTCTTCTAAAATGATCATTTTTATCAAGCTTGTATATTTAAGTTCAGTGATTTCACATAAATGGCAATGAAGATTAGCTATTAATTGTTATTTAAGTGAAATTACTGAACTTAAATACACAAGCTTGATAAAAATGGTCATTTTAGAACAAAATTTCAAATGGCACTTAGAGGCTTTTGCATCTGAACTCTTCATATATTTATACATAAGTAATATTATATATAAATATTTTATATATTAATAACACATTTTTCTTAAATATTTACATGCATGTGTGTGTATTTATATGTACAAAATAATTATACACACTACATACAAATATATAATTTAAACACAAACTTTTATTTTGGATGCGATTAATCGCGATTAATCGTTGCCCAGCCAAACTATGTTTTTTTTTCTAAAAACCTGAAAGCTACAATATGTCATTTTTTTCACAGGTAGGGCTTACAATAAAGGCGTAGGTTGACGACGCATAAGCGGAATTATGGAACTTGTCATCATGCTGATGGATCTAATATCTAATGACGTTTAGATGAATGAATGCATTCGATAGTCACGCGGATATAAAGGAATGAGGAGATTTCATTCTACCGAACTACCCGCAAGTGCTGAATTACTACCCACACAGGTCAGTTTATTAGACGAATTACACTTGTGATGTTACGCAGCATTGTTCACTTGGTCAACACTATCACACTAAACTGAACGAGTGTGTTGAAAGTTATAATGTTATTCTATGTTTTAGTTCAGTAAGCTACAGTAGATCAACATTAGAATAACACACTGATCATATTCCAATATTTCATCATGTTGAGCTATATAACATTGATTTGTTTTATGTATATTTGCTCACCTGTCTAATAAAGTACACGCAAGAGCGGCATCTCGTCAAGTCGAAGTTAGTCGCGGACTTGGAGCTCTCGGCATCTCGAAAACGACACGCTGATACGTTTGATTCGTTTGAACGAAACAACAACTGCGTGAGCGTGCCGCTAGACATAACGCAGTTGTATACATCTGTCGCCATGGTTACTATGGAAATACAAGCAGGAACCAGGGATAACGCGGATATTACGTTATTGACAGGCGACAAGTGAACATGGACGAGACATTATTTAAAATTGGAATTTCTAAATCTATAATTTTTTTATTTATAAGATTAAAAATCTTTGGGAACTTTTGGGATATTTGTAAGTACAAAACTGCAGGAAATATATCACACTGTGCAAATGATTTTGGGATATTATATTACAAAAATCTTACATATTGTACCTTTAAATAAATTTTAATTTGCTTGGTTAAAAACTTTTACAAAAGTACAGACAGAATAACAGAAGTTCCTCAATGTGGTCCTCAAAAGTTCCTAACTGGTTCTGTAGATAATGCTTTTGTAAACAACTAATTAAAAAAATAATGTAAAGAATCCTCACCAGAGACAGTAACACTGAATGTTGTAGGTAAGGTACCAGAGTTGCGGATGATCTCTAGTTTATAAAGTCCAGAGTGTTTGATTCTCATGTTCTTGATGGTCAGAGATCCATTCTGATGATCCAGCTGCAGTCTGTCTCTGAATATCTCAGTGAGATAGGGATATGAGCTCTTAGTTTTATCAGTATCAGCAATGACTGAACCTGACGCTCCAAACCTCCACTCTATCAGATTAAATTCCTTTATTTTAGAAGGATCAGTGTTTAGAGTGACAGATTCTCCCTCCATCACTGACACTGTCTTCACTTCATCAACACCAAATACTCCTGTAAAACAAACAGAAACAGTTTCTCAGAGATTAAACTCATATAACACTGCTGCAGCAGATATTAGTGAACAGATTTATAACAGATAATTTAGTCTTGTCTTATATTTACATTTTTACATTTATTCATTTAGCTGACGCTTTTATCCAAAGAGACTATTGCTATATACTATTGTCACACACCTCTGGAGCAACTAGGGGTTAAAGAGTAGTTCACTTTAAAAAAAACTTTTGCTGATAACTTACTCACCCCCATGTCATACAATATGTCCATGTCTTTCTTTCTTCAGTCGAAAAGAAATTAAGGTTTTTGATGAAAACATTCCAGGATTTTCTCCGTATAATGGACTTCATTGGGGACCAAACGGTTCAAGGTCCAAAGGACAGTTTCAGTGCAAACTGTTCAAAGGGCTTTAAACGATTTCAGACGATGAATAAGTGTCTTATCTAACGAAATAATCGCTCATTTAAAAAACAAATAACAAAGTTTAAGTTTTATAAGCTTAAATGCTCGCCTTTCCACATGAACAAATCTTTTTCGAGTCATTTGGTTCATTCAACGAATGAGTTTGAACAGAAGTCACTAACGTGCATCACAGAACAGAGCAAGGCGAGCATTTGAACTTATAAAACTTAAAATTTGTTATTCATTTTTTAAATGAATGATTGTTTGGCTTGATAAGACCCTTATTCATCGTCTGGAATCGTTTAAAGCCCTTTGAATAGTTTGCAGTTTGCACTGAAACTGTCTTTTGGACCTTGAACCATCTGGTACCCAGTAAAGTGCATTATATGGAGAAAAATCCTGGAATGTTTTCATCAAAATCTTTAATTTCTTTTCAACTGAAGAAAGTATGACATGGACATCTTGGATGACATGGAGGTGAGTAAATTATCAGCAAAATCTTTTTTTTTTAAAGTGAACTACTCCTTTAAGTGTCTTGCTCGGGGACACATTGGTGTCTTGCAGTGGATTCGAACCAGGGTCTCTCACACCAAAGGCATGTGTCTTATTCACTGCACCATCATCACCTGTTGTCTTATAAACAATTAATTATGACATTGTGACAAACTAATGAGAGAAAACTCATGTTGGGTCATCTACAATCACATTTAGCTGAGTGAATATGTGCAACACTGCACAAAATACAACTGCAATAACTTTAATAGTAGTTAAAGGGTAGCATATCTGCAAAAAAAGAGTAATCTTATATTAATATAAGCATGTTTGATGATGATAAACGACTAATTTCTCATTTTAAAATGTATCACTGTTTGAACAAGTTTATTTTTCAATAGTAAAGACATGAATATTTGACATACAAAACACGTGACACTCAACAAATTAAAAAATATATGAAAAAGACCAAATAGACCAACAACAAATACTGCTAAAAGAGAACCAAAAAAATAAGATCAGCAACATAGGCCTAGATAAAACCATAGTTAATTTGTGTTTTCCAAAACAGTAAACCCACAGTAAAAGCTTTTTACAGAACAATTGGAAATGTATTTATAAACGACATGGATAATTAGTTTGCGGCAAAGCAATTGTTTTACAAATCGTGTGAGTGTATGGTGGTCATAAATCCCACAAAAAAGGTCTGCAATGAATGCTTGATTTGGTGTTGCCACCCCCTATATTCCTCATGCCACCACACATAACTTTAGAAATCAGGCACAGAAACTGTAGTATCTTTGCAGAAAGCGAACAACTACATTCATAGAGTTCAAGTCACACACACACACACTCTCTCTCTCTCACACACACACACACACACACACACACACACATATGTATTCGTTCGTTCTCTGAGATAAAGTGCTGCATCTTCTGCTGTGTCGCAGAGTTAACACGCATCACTGAATTTCTGGACATTTTTCTATAGGACATTTATATATACACACTGTAAAAAATATTTTCAAGATTTGTTATCACAACATATTTTCTTTTGTCAAATCAACTTTATAATAAATTATTTAGTTGAGACAACTTATTATTTTGAGTTTCTGATTGTTAAATCTCCTTCATTGTATTAACTTTTTCCAGTTCAATCAACTTAAAATTTTTAAGGCAACCAGGTTACTAAATTTTTTAAGTTAAACCAACAATATTTTTCTACAGTGAATACTTTACTCAGTTTGTTGCAAGACATACACACTCATGCCTCCAGCATATTACATAGACCTTATTCAGAGCAGTGCCATCATGACAGGTATGAAAGTGAGGCTGTGAGGGATAGACTTACCGTGTCCAATGGCATCCGCTGTAAAAAGCTGAATAAAGCTACCAGATTACTTACAATTTTCCACAACTTACATTGTCGGGAGCTTTTTGTCAACTGACACTTCTTGGAAAGATAATTTTCCAGTGTTTCATGAGCAGAACAATCCGAAAACACATTAACTAACAGTACAGCCCATTGAAGAGATGCAAGTCTATCCCTCACAGCCTCGCTTTCATTCTCATTAAAAATCAAAGATGGCGCTGCCGTGAATAAGGCGTATGTCCAACTCTTCTTCTTCTTCTTCTTCTTCTTCTTCTTTTCGTTTCATGGCCGTTCACTCCTTTGGAGTATTACCGCCACCTACTGTATACCTTACGCACATGATTAATGAATCTGATTAGGAAGGAGGGAAAAAAAAAAAAAAAAAAAAAAAACATCCCATAGTATCAGAGCTCGTCTATCAGCTGACGCTGCATGTTCAGCTCCTCCAGCTTCTACACTGAGCTCCTCAAACCTCCAGGATGATCAGTTCTCCTCCTCAGGCTCTAGATCCTGTGATCTAGTCCTGTAAGCTCTAAAAAAGTTATCACTTCCTTAAACCTTTCTCTATCACTCAAACCCTTTCCCAATAGGTCCATAATGCTCACTGGCCTGTTCTTTATATTTTTAAAAAGACCCCTATACGCTGATCTTCATATTTACTACACTTAAAAAACACATGTTCTACTGTTTCAAGTATGCCACATTCATCACACATATATACCATTTCCATGCTTTCCCATTAATGCCAGTGTTGATTTTAAACCTGTATGACCCATCCTTAATCTAGAAATCATGACTTCTTCCTTTCTATGTCTTCCATAGCACGAATATTTTATCCCTACTGATTTTACAATACTATAATACCACCTACCTGTACTGCTACTTTCCCATCTTTGTTGCCATATTCTTATTATTTCTCTATTAATTATTGATCTAACTTCATTTCTTCCTAAAGGTATCTTAATATCTACCAAGTCTTTCCTTAATGCTTCTTTTGCTAATTTATCCGCTATTTCGTTTCCTACTATCCCAATGTGTGCCGGTACCCAACAAAAGTATACAAGTATCCCCTCTATGTTCAGCCTATATAATAATGTATAAATTTCTACCATCAAGTCTTCTCTGTCTGTTTTTGTTGATAGTATACTTTTAAGTGCTGATGCAGAATCTGAATAAATTACAGTCGCCATCCTATTTGGCTTAGTCTGCTCTAACCACTGCAATCCTACAATTATAGCAGTTAATTCTGATGAATATACAGATATTTTGTCACTCAACCTTAAACTTATTTTAGTCTCAAATTTTGGAATATATACTCCTGTTCCCACTTTTTGTTCTACTGGGTCTTTAGATCCATCTGTATAAATCTGTATACAAGAATAAAAAACTTCTCTCATAAAAGCATTAATTTCATGCCTATTAGTATATCTTCCTTCCGCTTTCTCCCTATCCTCCAGCAATCTCATTTCAACATTAGGCTCAGGTATATTCCACACTGATACCCCTTTTAATGGAATATTGGGACAAATATCTATATTTTCCAGACCACATTCCTCAACCCACTGTTTATACTTCCATCCAAAACTATTCCCATTATTCTTTTTATATTCCCAACAGTCATTTAAAATTGCTTGTGTACAATGGCTCTTACTACAACCCTGCAAGTTAACCCAGTACATCATTGTAAGCTTTTGCCTTCTTAAATCTAGCACTGGCATCTCCCCCATTTCAACCCTTATGTCCAACTCTCAGACCAAACACAACACTTATAATACAATGACACCTAGTTACTCAAAGATACTACATCCCCTCCTTCTAAGTTAAATAACAATAATATTACTTACAGAATGAAACAATAACCCACATTCTTCATTTTTAGTCATTTTTGTGGGTGTCAAAAAGTGAAAATGAAAGTAATCGAAATCATACACTTACCGGACAGTAGTAATATAAACAAAACGGTATTTGAAGAGCTCTTCATACTGTTGTAGATTCTAGCGAAATTTGATTTCGATGGATATTAATAATCTTCGATGTGTTATAAACCACACCCACCAGACTGAAAGCGACGACGGTTAACAAAATAGACACCGACTGTGACTTTCTAATGAATTGATGAATTGAGACGAAAGAAGAACGGCAAGTTGTCCTATTGACAGACTTTAAAATAGCGGAAAGACTTTAAACGCAGGCGTTTAGTCTTCATCGTCTAAGTAACCGCAAATCGCAGTCACTACTGTCCCAAACTCTGCGGTTTCGTTTCTTCTTCTCCTGTTGCGACGGTTGGCAAACAGCGTTTAGGTGCAATACCGCCACCTTCTGAGAGTGATTCAGGATCACACCAGAGAATGTAAATTCTATGGAATAGTCCTGTTGTGTTCAAGTAATAAAAAATAAACCTAAAACATTGTTCCCCAGAAATTCGTATATCAGTAATATTCAGTTTTTTTCTTTACTTACACTAATTGTTCTAGCATAAGTGTTTAGGAAAATGTTCTAACATGGTTTCTTGATTACCACATGGCATGCACTCACAGTAATCATCAGCATGTTTTCTCATTTGAGCTAATAGACTACTGTTCAATCCTGTGTGTCCATTCCTCATTCCTGAGACAATATCATCCTCCTGCTGCCATCCAACATTCTTTTGAATTCGATGCAGATGTCTGCCTGTGCTTTTATTGCCCCATAAATATTTCCATATACCCTTATTTTTTGTTTCAGTCGTATTTTTGATTTCTGCTTTACTATATTGTACTTGAATATTAATGTTGTCTTGGTTTTTTATCTGCTCAGCATATTTATCTGCAACTTCATTCCCCATTACTCAGGGATACAACCCAACATGGTGACTCCTGACTTTATGAATATTCACTAAATGCATTATATCATTAAAAAAATATCTTGCCAGATTCTTTATAAAGCTGAACTTGAATCACACCACATCACTTTCAATCCATATTCCTCGACCCATAATAAAGCCAACCATATAGCAATAAGTCATCTGTAAACACAGCAAGACCATCATTATTTATATTAGCATTCATCAGTTTTAATTCAGTGATTGCACTACTCCCGTGTTTATTTTTTTATGCATCTGTACCTGAATATTATTTCCTCTTGTATGACGGTTGGTAAATCAACTAGGTATCCAACCTACTGAAATGAAGTATGGAGCACAACTTAGTTGAACGAACACACACACACACACACACACACACACACACACACACACACACACACACACACACACACACACACACACACACACACACACACACACACACACACACACACACACACACAGACTCATTTACCAGTATCATTCAAAAATCGGAATAATTCCTCATGAATTCTATCATTTGCTCCTTCTCCTATTAGTGAATAATTGCTTACACACCTTTCCTTTTAGTGACTGAACTAACTTCAATCGTTCTCTATTGTATGCTGTACATTCCAGCAAGATTTACTGTTTCTGGCTATCCACATTTATCACAATTACCAGTTTCATGTTTTCCTATTTTATAAAAACTTTGATATAGTATTGTTTATATGTCCAATAAGTAATCTTGGCATTATCACATCCTTTTTAGCAGTTGTTGTTTCCACCCCCACATTTCTTTGTATAGGCCTACTACTGACGCCTTCCTCATATTTCATAGTCCCGTATCCTCTGCCGACTCTTTTTCACTTCAGTTACCATCAACCCCTCACATTTTAGAGCTGATTGTGATTCTGCTGTTTGCATAGACCAAAGACTTAAATTTAAGTCTTAAGTTTTTTAAATATAAAACCCCAGGTAAAAAAAGAAAGAAAGAAAGAGACAGCACAGAGTGTTAGTCTGTAATGTGAGGTGAAACAAAAGAAGAGGGTGAATAAATGTTGACATAATTTTTGGGTGAACTATGCACAAAAGCTTTATTTGGTAAGTATTTCTACCACAGCCCTTTTGACCTTTTCTCTGGTAGTTCTGAGGCAAACGATGTTCACAGTTCCCTTTAAAAATACTAACAACCTAAATATGTTGTGCTACATACACCCACACACATAACATTTCTAACAATGACCCTTAAAAAAAAAAACAATTTCCAAAAAAAAAAAAAAAAGTATCCCTTTAAGTGTGTAGGTCAAGCTCAGAGCTTGTCCTGCAAATTCAACACCCATTTGAACAATCTACTACATTTCAACCATAAAACTGTTTACAATGTGTATTATTTTCTATTTAATCGTTCAACTAGTTTTTATTGACTGATGTGCACGATGAATGTTTCGAAGAAGTTGAGCCTTAGTGGAAGATCTTCTCCAGCACCTTTCTCTCCTTCCTCTCTCCTTGCGTCATTCAACTATAAGATCGTCCATATCTCAACCTTGTCTGTGACATTGCGTAACACTTCTTATTTCTGGGTCATTTCCATCCATTACATTCATGCAGACAGTCTTTAATATATACCATATCTGGGGGGGTTATCAGAAGAAAATGATTTATTTTAGAAGATTGTTGTAATTTATACAATATTTCTACAAAAAGTGTGTATGAGATGAGATGTGAAATGTGTATAACTTGTACAAGAGAATGTGGGTACGTAACACTTTATTTTACAGTGTCCTTGTTACATAATGTAACATGTATTTACCATAGTAATAACAGCAAAGTACGCGTACACGCAAAAACGAATCCTATTCGGTTGTTAAGTCGTGACGTAATCACGCTCTGATAATACTGTTTCCGGGTCCAAATGCTGGGTCCTCTCTATCTGCTTACCGCTTTTGCCCGAGTTTTAACATGCCGCAGTGCTGTGTCCCATGTTGTTTAAATAGATCGGAGTTAAAAAAAAACAAGTGACATTCAACTGTCATTCTACCGCTTTCCCTGTGACGAGAAAGAAAAGAGAAAATGGCTGCAGTTGATAAGGTAAGTTACAATTCTTTCCTTTATCCCTAACACCCACTGGCGCTGAAGCGAAGCCAGTCCTTTAAGAAAAGGGCTTAGTCTAACGTTATGGGTTGTAACGTTAATTAGATATGGACGAGCGGAGCGCTTGGACCCGGAAGAGGCTAAACGTCACGCGTGACGTCAGACTTAACAACCGAATAGACCCCTTTTGCGCCGACGTCACAGTTACGTCACGCGCTAGCTGGAGGCAAAACAAAGTGAAAACTGGAGGCGGTCAACGCTAAACAGCACAGATTCGGCTACATAATAAGGAGCTTAAATAATTGTTACTATTATTAAATGTCATCTTGTTGTGTTGTTTGGTGCAAGAATTGATGAAAAATGAATATGCTGTAGGCTATCTGGAACTTTTATTTCTAGAAAATATTCACATCATTAAAATCGCACTGTAATGTCACTCTTTACATTGTCGTGGTCTCTGTGCTGACTCGTCAGAACTGCGGATCGTACACACAAGTCTTGTACAGGACCATATTGGCATCTAAAGATTTATATGCCCTCAGTTTAGTTAGGAATGACAAAACAAAAAAACAGATGTATGATAATGAGGATGAATTGAGTGATGTAGACATTAAGGATGTAGAATCTGGTAGTGAAGACATTATTCTGTACGATGACATCAACTATAAAGTAAATGAGTTTGGAGGCGACATAGATCCGGATGAGCATTTGTTTAACAATATAATCAAGGATTGTGATTACTATACTGACAATCAATTTAAATGTTTTTACACGAATGGTGCCTTTAGTATTATACATTTCAATAGTAGGAGTCTGAACAAAAATTATAATGACATCAAACAATATCTTAGTCAGTTTAGTAAGTTCAGTGTCATTGCTGTCTCTGAGACTTGGTTGGAAGCCGACAAGTGCTGTGAAGTTGAATTAGATGGATATGATTTGTTCACCACCAATCGAATTAATAAAAGAGGTGGGGGTGTTGCACTATACATAAATACAGATCTGGGGTTTATGAAGATTAATAGTGAGTCAACCACCATTGATGATGTTTTGGAGTGTATATCATGTGAAATTATTTTAGAAAAATCAAAAAATATAGTTGTTAGTTGTGTGTATAGAACACCGGGATCTAGTCTAGACATCTTCAATAAAAAAATGGATAGTCTTTTTAATAATCCAAATAAGGTCCATATTGTATGTGGGGACTTTAATATTGATCTTCTGAACCCTCAGAAAAATGTGAAAATAACAGATTTTATTAATATTATGTATAGCAACACTCTATTTCCTCTTATTGTTAAGCCAACCAGAATTACTTCAGATACATCAACATTAATAGATAATATTTTTACTAATCAATTAGCAAGTCAAATAACTGCTGGAGTACTTATCAATGATATCACTGACCATTTTCCTATTTTTAGTGTTTTCAAAGAATTGCGAAATAACACAACCAAAACAAATGATTTTAAAGTTGTAAGACATAGAACTCCCGAAGCTATTGCTGCTTTCAGGGATGACTTATGTTCACAAACTTGGCATGAAGTGTACACAACTACTGATCCTGATAGGGCATATAATGCCTTCTTACTTACCCTAACTCAATTATATGACCAGCATTGCCCACACAAGAAATACTTTATTAAAAATAAAAACAGTCAGGATAAGCCATGGCTGACTAAGGGCATAATTAGGGCCTGTAAAAGAAAACAACAACTCTATAGAGTCTATTTAAAGAAAAGAACTAAACAAAATGAAGAAAGGTATAAAAGGTATAAAAATAAGTTAATTCAAATAATAAGATTTAATAGAAAAATGTATTATTGTAATTTGCTGGAGCATTATAAGACTGATATCCAAGGTACTTGGAGGGTTTTGAATGGTATTATCAGGAATGGGAAAAAAAAGGAAGAATATCCTAATCACTTCATAGTGAATAATACAACCATCAGTGAAAAAAATGAAATTGCAAATGCATTTAATAATTTTTTTGTCAATGTTGGGCCTAAGTTAGCCAATGAAATTGTGCAATCTAACAATGCAAAAGAATTCAAAGAAATTCACATTAAAAATAATTTAAACTCACTTTTCATTGAAAGTGTTAGTGAGAGAGAAATCATGAATATTGTACTTTCCTTTAAGACCAAAAAAACAACAGATGAATCGGACATTGATATGGTCCTTGTGAAAGATATCATTGATTGTATTGTTTCTCCGCTAACATATATATGTAATCAGTCTTTCTCAACGGGTATCTTTCCGAGTAAGATGAAAACTGCTAAAGTGATACCTATTTTTAAAAATGGAGATAAGCAACAGTTTACCAATTATAGACCGATCTCAAT